AGTATTTTGTAGCATTTTTTATGCAACCTTTTTCTTTAAATGACATGTTTATGGCCCAATTATAATTAACACCTTTGATGATTGTTAATCTGTTGATAATTCGATCTCTGGTTAGTTAGTGTCACCACTTCTGATTACAGTTGTGCAACAATTAAAATGTTTACTTTGCAATTTCCTTCAATGAAACAATTTGTATTCAGAGATGAATCAGCTTATTTCAGTTGAAAGCAATTATTTCATTAAAAAAATTGATGAATGTTGTCAGAAATGAGAGAAGAACATGATATGATAACTTTCAAGAATCTTTGTTTCTGATGGGTTCAAAATATTCACCCGATTTTTTTCTTCAGAAAACTAAAAATCCACGAATTTAAAAACCCACGAACATGTCACTTTTGCTCAATTCATGAAAAATTGATACCCATGAATAGAAGTACTTTCACAGTATATAGGATTCTTTCAAATGCTGAATCTAAACCTGTATTTAAATATTAGATTTTTAGTCCCCTACCGACTTGAAGGGGACTTTAGGTTTGCACTCCATCTGTCTGTCTGTCTGTCTGTCTGTCTGTCTGTCTGTCTGTCTGTCTGTCTGTCTGTCCGTCCGTCCGTCCGTCCGTCCGTCCGTCCGTCCGTCTGTCTGTCCATCTATCAGTCCGGCAAATCAGCTTTCCACACTTTTTTTCTTCGTTCTTAAAGATATTGATTTAATATTTGTTATATGGTTTTATCATGACAAGTTATAGATATAAGTTCGAATTTTGTTCCATTCTGATGATTTAGTCCAGAGTTATGGTCCATAAAAAAAATCCATATCTAATGTTAGAGTACTATGTTAAACCATATTTCTATACAAAGAGAGATAACTCATTTTTTTAAAGAAATTCTTTAGTAAATTGTTTGAAAAATTTGTGCCAGTTTGTTTGTTTGTTATTTTGTATTAACTAATTTTCTGAAAATATACATGTCTATATAAAAAATATTATTCAGTGAAATCCTTTAATTAGATAATAATCTATTTTCATTAAGGTATATATTTCATTACATTACATTGTGTAGATAAAATTTGTTGACACTTTATAGATAAGTTACAAATCTATATTAGTTTGTGACAAATGAAAGAAAAAATATTTGGAACTATTAATTATATTTGATTATAATTTGAAAATAGCTATACATTGTGTTACATCATATCTAATTTTAGAGAACTATTAATCATATCCAATGTTAACAGTGTTTTCCACACTTTTTTCATCATGCTTGAAGATATTGATTGATAATTGGTACATGTATATAGTTTTATCATGACAAGTTCCAGATCGAGTTCAAATTTTTGTTTTGGTCTGATAATTTTCTGCATGTTATGGTCCTTGGACTTGAAAAAGTCACTCATATAATCAGTTATTCACACCGTTTTTAGTCATGCTTAAATATAATGACTTGATATTTACTTTTTGTTTACACCATGACAAGTTATAGAACAAGTTAGCATTTTGTTCCAGTATAATGTAATTTTTACCCGGTAGGGGACTATGTATTGCCATGCAATACTCTCAGAATGCTTGTTTTGCCTAGTTTTCAAGTTGGTCCAAATCAGGGTCCAAAATTAAAAATTGAATTTATGGGGTTCTTTGAAATGCTGAATCTAACCATGTATTGAGAGATTTTGGATTGTGGGCTCCTTTATCAAATTGGTCCACATTTAGGTCCAAAGGGTCCTAAATTAAACTTTTGTCTGATTTCATCAAAAATTGAATTCTTGGGGTTCTTTGATATGCTGATTCTAATATGTACTTAGATTTTGGATATTGGACCATAATAGGTATTTAAATGTCCAATTTCAAATATTTCAGTTCTTTGACCACATTCGTTTCGTGTCACAAACCTATGCTGTGTCAAATATTCAATCACAATCCAAATTCAGAGCTGTTTTAAGTTTAAATGTAGTATCCATACTTGCTCAACTGTTTAGGGTTCGACCTCTGCAGGAAAATCCGGTTTGCTGTCACTCTGACAGCCTCTTGTTTATTTTTTAATTGATCAAATGATCCTTTACTGTGTGTATCATAGGGATGGGGTAATCATAATCTATTGTTATTGATTACCTTATTTCAAATAATCAATAGGCATCTGTAATCTTCAAAATTTTCAATTACATTTCGATTAGTTTAGTGAAATAGTTTAAAGAAAATAGACATGCATTTATTCTTCAGTTGATAGCACAGATCTTATGTAATGTATAAATATGACGATTAATAGTTCTATCAAATGCCTTATTCAGATCTGTTGTTGCCTCTTATTCTTCAGTTGATGGTACAGATAAAATATAATGTAATGTATAAATATGAAGGTTAATAGTTCTATCAAACATAAAATGAAAGATAGACATAGTTTAAAGTACACTAAAGAATGATTAAAAGGTGATATATAAAATTGTTCTGTGAACCATACAATTAATCACAAATAATGGTTGTCCTCGAATATAAACTCTTAAAGTAAATCACAAATTTCTCTTTATAATTTATAGATTTTTAGCTCACCTGTCAAATAAGGCCATGTGAGCATTTGCCATCCCTTGGCATCCTCCATCGTCATTGTCGTCATAATCATCATCGTCTGTCCTTCTGTAGTTGTAAACTTGAAAAAAAATTCACCTCTAAAACTATTGGGCTAAATGTTACCAAATTTTACCTGAATGTTCCTCAAGGTATCTAGTTTAAAAATTGTATCCAGGGATTTGATCCATCAACAAACATGGCAGCTGTTGCTTAAAATAGAACATAGGGGTCTAATTCAGATTTTGGCTTATATCTCAAAACTAAGGCAGTAAGAGCAAATTTTACAAGGTAAAAATTATCAGCAGGGAAAGGTCTATCTAGATCTATCAGAAAAATAGGAGAATCCATTTTGGAAATGTTGACTGTTAAAGTGTCAATTTTTGTCTCGTTTTGTCAAAATCAAAAAAGCAAAACTTTAGTCTTGAATTTCTGGCTTTGGCATCAATAAAAAAATGAGAAGGTTTGGTATGATTGCCAATGAGACAACTCTCCACCAGACACCCAATGACATAGAAGTTAACAAATATAGGTCACCATATGACCTTCAACAATGAGCAAAACCCATACAACATAGTCAGCTATAAAAGGCCCCGGAATAACAAATGAACTAACGGTCTGATTATGTACAAAATAATGAACAGACAAAATATGATATACAGCAACAAACTACAATCACTGAATTACAGGCTCCTGATTGGGACAGGCACATACAGAATGTGTCTGGGATTAGGCTAGTTTGAAGGCGAGCAAAACCCTCCCCCTAATCTTGGACAGTAGTGTAACCAACAATGTATTGGTTTGTGTGATTAGTGGTAGGTAAATGATATTTGGTATGCAGTAGCATTGGCACAACTCATTTCCATGGAGATTATTTGGCCCTGCCCTCTCAGTCATAGTTTATTGACTTTAAAACTTTTGCTTAGTTTTCATGTATTAGTAGTATTAGTTTGTGATAAGGTCAGTCTAAGGGGAATCATTAGTCATAGTGGTCTGTCAATGATATCTGGTATGTAAATGATTATTAATTGATTATACAAAAAATATTAATCAATTACTTTTGACAGTAATCATGGTCATCCCTGTTGTATCATTACTGATCCTTTACTGTGAGTAACATTACTGATTCCTTACTGAGTGTATCATAACTGATCCCTTACTGAGTGTATCATAACTGTTCCCTTACTGTGTGTATCATTAATTTACTGATCCCTTACTGGGTGTATCATTACTGATCCCTTACTGGGTGTATCATAACTGATCCATTACTGTGTGTATCATAACTGATCCCTTACTGTGTTTATCATTACTGATCCCTTACTGGGTGTGTCATAACTGATCCCTTACTGGGTCTATCATTACTGATCCCTTACTGGGTGTATCATAACTGATCCATTACTGGTGTATCATAACTGATCCCTTACTGTGTGTATCATTACTGATACCTTACTGGGTGTGTCATAACTGATCCCTTACTGTGTGTATCATAACTGATCCCTTACTGATTGTATCATAACTGATCCCTTATTTTGTGTATCGTAACTGATCCCTTACTGTGTATCATTACTGATCCCTTACTGTGTGTATCATAACTGATTCCTTACTGATTGTATCATAACTGATCCCTTATTGTGTGTATCATAACTGATCCCTTACTGTGTATCATAACTGATCCCTTACTGAGTGTATCATTACTGATCCCTTACTGATTGTATCATAACTGATTCCATACTGAGTGTTTCATTACTGATCCCTTACTGAGAGTATCTTTACTGGTCCCTTACTGGGTGTATCATGACTGATTCTTTACTGAATGTATCCCTTACTAAGTGTATCATTACTAATCCCCTACGGAGTGTATCATGACATCCCTTACTGTGTGTATCATTACTTATCCCCTACCGAGTATATATTGACTGATCCCTAACTGTGAGTATCTTAATGACACCTTACTGGGTGTATCATTACTGACCCCTTACTGGTTGCATCATTACTGATCTTTTACTGGGTGTATTTTTACTGATCCCCTACTGAGTGTATCATTACTGATCCCTTATTATGAGTATCATTATTATTGATCCCTTACTGAGTGTATCATAATTACTGACCCCTTACCAGGTGCATCATTACTGACCCCTTACTGGGTGTATCATTACTGACCCCTTATTAGGTGCATCATTACTGACTGCTTACTGGGTGTATCATTACTGATACTTACTGGGTGTATCATTACTGATCCCTTACTGGGTGTATCATAACTGATACTTTACTGGGTGTATCATTACTGATCCCTTACTGAGTGTATCAATACTGATCCTTTACCAGAACTGATCTCCTACTGAATATCTCATTACAGATCCCTTGTTGTATTATTACTGAGCTCTCATTGTCTACTTTTGTGACATGTTATTCATTCACTAAAATGTACATATTTTTTTACTGTAGGCAACTCAACAGTTGAAGGAGCTATTCAAAGATCCTGATATTATTCCAGGTTTATGCAAAGTTTTAGAGTTATCTCAAGTTCCTCAGGTTTGTACTTAGAAAGAAAAAAAGTAGTAGTAACATGATGTATAATTTCTTAAGAATTTGCAAAGGACCACAGTGACTGTTAGCAGGAATAATTGTGTTTTTTTTTCCAGGGGTGATATGTCCAATGTGTTTTTTTCCCAATTTCACCTAGAAAGGAGTTACGAAGGCCTTAAAATGGCCCTAAAAATTGAACTTTGTAATATCATATATAGTAGTGTTGTCAAATTGAACATTTTTACTTAACTTGTTACTCTGATAATCTTTCGACTGATTAACTGGTTAACTGATATGAAAATTAATGAGGTTTAGAAATATTGTCATTTTTTGTCATCTTCCGACCTGCAGTAAAACACTGGGAAATTTTCTCTTCTTCCTGTCCCTTTTCTTTATGCTTTTTGTCGAACACAGGTGTTAATAACTTTCTCCTTTGGCTGGACAAATCTCTATGTGCATACAAGAGCAAATTCAAGGAATCCAATGACAATTCAAAAGTTTCTTCTGATTTTTTCGACAAACTTTTCAAGGATCTGTCAGAAAGCTGGAACACCTTTTCACTAGGTACCACTGAGTCCTTTGCAGGGATCTGTCGGCATCTTTGAGAAGTTTTGGATTTGTATCCTTAGAATTCCATAATACTTTGTTTACCTTTGGTAAATTCACAATTTCTGATCTTAAATATTTGTCCACTATTTCATGTACTTCTTTGTTTTTGCTTTCTTGGCCCAAATTGCCAAGTGATCTTGACTCATCATTTGGTGTCCATCGTCCGTCTTTGTCTTCGTTCCTTTACCTTTGCAAAAATCTTCTACTCTGAAACTACTGCATCAAATTTACCAAACTTAGCCACAATCATCATTGGAGTATCAATTCAAAAAATGTGTCGGGACGAACTGGCCTGCAAACCAAGAAGGCCAACATGTCTTAAAAATAGAACATGGGGGTAAAAATGCAAGTTTTGTCTATCATTATGAAAACCACTTAAAACAGAAATCTGACAGCGGCAGAAATGTTCGGAATGTTGAGCTCTACCTAGGTCAAAACTGTCAGATGACTTCTTTTGGAATTATTGCCCTTAAATGACGAACTTTACCATTTATACCTATTCTTTTAAGATAAATTCATCATATATACCAAGATAAAAATTTTGTATGCCAAAAAATTATGTTAGAGAGAAACTTTGAATACTAAAAATTATCAGCAAGACAAGATTTACAAGTTAGTCAACATGGCTGAAATGGTCTAGACGACTCCTTATTAGAGTTATTGCCCTTAAATGACGATTTTTACCAGTTCTTTACATTTTTGCCTAATATCTTAAAAACAACAATAGATAGATAGAAACTTTAGAAAGCTTAACTTAGATCAGCAAGACAAGATCTACAAATCAGTCGAATGTCCAAATTCTTCAGTCGACTCATTATTGGAATTATTGCTCTGTAATGGCGATTTTCACCAAATTTTGGGTGTTTTTGCCTAATATCTTGAAAACTGTAATAGATAGATTGACATTTTGAAATTCAAAATGATCTACAAATAAGTCAACATGGTCAAAATTGTTAGTCAACTCGTTGAAGGAGTTCTTGCTCTTTAATGACGATTTTTACCAATTATTGGCATTTTTGCCTATTATCTTGAAAACTATTAACCCTTTCCTCCATAGAGTCAGAAATAGTTAGTAGACTCTTTAAAAGGGATTGCCCTTCAATGAAGATTTTTTACCCTCTTTTTGTGTTTTGGGCAAAAACTAAAGAAGATACTGAGAAGCTGTAAACAGAAAAAATAATCAACAATACAAGATCAACAAAAAAAGAGATTTTTGTCATAAATTTTATTCTAGCCTGCAATGTTGGAGTGTGTCCATTGTTGAAAATGCACATAGACCTAGGTGAGCTACACAGGCTCTTTAGAGCCTCTAGTTATGGTCTATATATGAAACTCTATTATATTTACTGAATATCAAATATCACCCACATTGTAAATTACTAGTTTCTGGAATTCTACCCAGAAAAGGATTTAATATGCATTACCCGAATGAAATGCTGAAAGACCTATGTGAACAGCTTAACATACAATTTATTGACCATACAAACATATTTTATGATAAGAATGATCATCTTTCGTACTCCCTTTTTATACGCCCGTTTACGGGACGTATTATGGTATACCGTTGTCCGTCTGTCTGTCTGTCCGTCCGTCCGTCCGTCTGTCCGTCCGTCATTAACATGTCGGACATAAACTCAAAAACGATTTAACCAATTTGCATAGAACTTTGGTGAATTGTATATATCTATTGACGTGAGCTCCCTTTCGTTTTTTATAAATTTTAGATTTTACGTTTCCGAGTTATGGGGTTTTATTCATTAAAAAAAGGGGGATTTTCCAGTTTTCAGACAATAACTCAAGAATGCTTTCACCAACTTGCAAGAAATTGTGGTGAATTGTTTATATCTATTGACATGAGCTCCCTGTCGGTTTTTGTAAATTTTAGATTTTACGTTTCCGAGTTATGGGATTTTATTCATTAAAAAAAGGGGGATTTTCCAGTTTTCAGACAATAACTCAAGAATGCTTTCACCAACTTGCAAGAAATTGTGGTGAATTGTTTATATCTATTGACATGAGCTCCCTGTCGATTTTTATAAATTTTAGATTTTACGTTTCCGAGTTGTGGGGTTTTATTCATTAAAAAAAGGGGGATTTTCCAGTTTTCGGACAATAACTCAAGAATGCTTTCACCAACTTGCAAGAAATTGTGGTGAATTGTTTATATCTATTGACATGAGCTCCCTGTCGATTTTTATAAATTTTAGATTTTACGTTTCCAATTATGGGGTTTTATTCATTAAAAAAAGGGGGATTTTCCAGTTTTCGGACAATAACTCAAGAATGCTTTCACCAACTTGCAAGAAATTGTGGTGTATTGTTTATATCTATTGACATGAGCTCCCTTTCGATTTTTATATATTTTAGATTTGACGTTTCCGAGTTGCAGGGTTTTATTCATAAAAAAAGGGGTATTTTCCAGTTTTCGGACAAAAAATCAAAAATACTTTCAGCAGTTCTTATGAAACTTTGGTGAATTGTTTATATATCTATTGATGTAAGCTCCATTTAGAATTTTATAAATTTTTCATTTATCATTTCTGAGTTATGGGGTTTTATTCATTTAAAAAAGGGGGGGTTTTCCAGTTGTGGACAATAACTCAAAAATGCTGTCAGCAATTCTCATGAAACTTTGGTGAATTGTTTATATCTATTGATGTAAGCTCCCTTTACATTTTCATAAATTTCTAATATGACATTGAGAATTAATTGAACTTTATTTGTTTATAGTCTGACAACAGATTTACTAAGTATTGCGCCACGGCACAGTGTATTGCACAACAGCAAGAAATCTTTAATTGAATATAAATTCAATTCATATAACCAATTTCAAGTTCTTTGACTACATTTATTCAGAAACCTATATGTCAAATATTAAATTACAGTCCAAATTCAGACCTGTATCAAGCTTGCATATTGTGTCCATTTTTGCCCCAACTGTTCAGGGTTGGACCTCTGCGGGCGTATCCAGCTGCGCTCAGCGAAGCAGTTTATTCATCATGATGGGATTCATTTGTCAAAAAAAGGAACATCAGCCTTCCTTAGATCAGTCAACATGCCTGTTAACATATTAGGGCATACAGATCGATCAGATAGGTACTGTGTTCACTGTGGTGAACCATGGAAGTATTATTTATATTGACAGGAATAACAACCACGCCAGTTCAAAGGTTTCATCTGCGTTACCGCCTATCTTCCAATCACTTGTTAATTAGTTTAGGATATGGAATGATAATTGATTCTCGGCATGTGATCAATCAAATCACTGACACTTGTCAGTCATTTTCGTGTTCACAGAAAATTACGAACAGACGGTTGTTGTCGTATATACGTACGAAGTAACCCGAATAGTTCACTCGTTACATTCCGCTGCTGTACTCTGCCAAATAGAGTCATTCATTCAATGTTGATTTTAGTCTATTTTCCCTATTTATGTCTTTTTCGATCTTGATAGTTTAAGCCGACAGTTATCACATATGAAATTGGTGAAAAAGGGTGGATCATGTTCAATTTTAATATTTAAAGGTAGTTAGGAACCATTTCTGAAAGTTAAGAAGATGATTATACAAAAAATATGTTTCGACCCCCTTTTCTTAAATACGAAAATCAAAGTCTTTTGTGTGTACCAGTCAATTAAAATATTCACAATTTAAAACCTATTCTTTAATTTGTACATAAACTAATTCATATAACATACATTTGCGTTTAAAAAGATAGCGTCAAGCTCATTTTGTTTGGTTGTTTTTCTTTTTGCTGTGACATGTTATATTAATTGTTAACACTTTTTTAAATAGATATAAATTTAACATGTTTTACGAACTTATTATCCTGATTTTAAATGTCCAGTTTCAATAATGTAATCAATGACATTTATTACAAATACATAAACCTAAAATACTTGAAAGTAAATCCTTTTTATAAATCTCGATAAACTTGGCACATTTCAACAGTAAAATATTCTATGTCTACATTTGTCTACATTATTTTGTTAAACATTATGTGAAATCTGATCGCTTCATTGTTATTACCTGTTTTACTCGTGCTCCGCTTTCAATCAGAAAATACTTTTAGAACAGTTTAAAAAAAAACAGTAAAAAGCAAAAATATGCAAAAATAAATACAATTTTCCATGTTAAACTGTTGTAGTTTAAACAATTCTCGTCCGTTTTTCAATTTTGTTACATCATTTGATTTCTTTCTGAAGGTAGAAGTTTTATATGATACAGCACCACCTTGTAATTAATAAACTAGGGATTTCCCACAGGTGCTTTATAATTACGGTACTCAATAAAATCATGTGACTAATAAGAAATTCCAGATGCCATTTTAAAATCGCGGTATCACAGATAGTAACCAAAGGGGTTTTGTTGCTGAGACAATAATTGGATCAAATCATA